ATTTCCTGATAGAATCCACTGTTAATGGGTTAACCTGACTGATACTTGTTGGTTTCATTATTTCCTGATAGAATCCACTGTTAATGGGTTAACCTGACTGATACTTGTTGGTTTCATTATTTCCTGATAGAATCCACTGTTAATGGGTTAACCTGACTGATACTTGTTGGTTTCATTATTTCCTGATAGAATCCACTGTTAATGGGTTAACCTAACTGATACTTGTCAGTTTCATTATTTCCTCATAGAATCCACTATTAATGTTGGTTAACCTGACTGATACTTGTTAGTTTTATTATTTCCTGATAGAATCCACTGTTAATGGGTTAACCTGACTGATACTTGTTGGTTTCATTATTTCCTGATAGAGTCTACATTAACAACCACAGAAATCCAAAACAAAACTTTCAAGCAGTTGGAATATAAGTTTAATCATTTACAATTAGTTAATGAACAATACAACATAAATGTCAGTGTTATTAATTATATCAATTAATAAAAGAATTAAGAACAATATTCTAAAATTAGATCAATAAAAATATTGAGTAAAAATTAGCAATAATTTGTGTTAACCGTATCTTGTAACTGTATCTTGTGAACTAACTTGTGTAGCTGTATCTTGTGTAATTATATCTTGTAAATTAACTTGTGTAACTGTATCTTGTGAACTAACTCATGTAACTGTATCTTGTGAACTAACTTGTGTAACTGTACCTAGTGAATTAACTTGTGTAACTATCTTGTGAACTAACTTGTGTAACTATATCTTGTGAATTAACTCGTGTAACTGTATCTAGTGAACTAACTTGTGTAACTGTATCTAGTGAACTAACTTGTGTAACTGTATCTAGTGAACTAACTTGTGTAACTGTATCTTGTAAATTAACTTGTGTAACTGTATCTTGTGAACTAACTCATGTAACTGTATCTTGTGAACTAACTCTTGTAACTGTATCTTGTGAACTAACTCGTGTAACTGTATCTTGTGAACTAACTCGTGTAACTGTATCTTGTGAACTAACTTGTGTAACTGTATCTAGTGAACTAACTCGTGTAACTGTATTTTGTGAACTAACTTGTGTAACTGTATCTTGTGAACTAACTCTTGTAACTGTATCTTGTGAACTAACTCATGTAACTGTATCTTGTGAACTAACTCGTGTAACTGTATCTTGTGAACTAACTCATTTAAGCTTAAGACAAGGTTTTTATTTAGTGGTTAGACCATGAGGTGTAACTAGCTAATATACATAATCTTTCACAACATTAATATCTGTACATCACCACTAGGGGAAGCTTGTGTCAGTTTAATAATACAAATACAACATACTTAAATTTAATGTGCTCTAGCTGGAAGGTGAGTTAGCACTTTAATATAACTAAAAATTGATAGTTGAACAAAAGGATAGAAGGAATAATAAATGAATGGTAAATAAAATAATAAAAGTAGAATTTGTTATCTTACAACCTGTGTGTGGCTAAATATCTGTCTGACATCGGTTTTTTACTTGGTAGTTAACAGACTTCTGTATTTTTACAGATATCTGTATGTAACTGGA